TATGAAATCAAATCCAAATCTTATTTTTCAAATTATTTACATTTAACATATTTCAGAGATCTATGTACTGTTCATTCCAATTCATTTCTGTAAGATGAGGTCCCCTCCCCCGTTGTTTGCTTATAAAGTTAGATTATAATTGTGTCATATTATCCAGACAGATTTTCTTATTGTGGTACAAATATTCTATTTCATTGTTTCATCTATATAGGTAGGCTTCAGTGAGTGCATGCCAGAAAGGCAGCTGTTCAGAAGGGTATGATGGATCCTTAATTCGACATAGGTTATTAACTAGAAACACATCGGGTTTTTGACATACAGTTATAATGATAAGCCTACCTACAGGGATATGATATCTTTATTTTATTTGCTCATAAATACTAATGGGTGTCACTTACTGTGTAACATATCCCAAGTTTATTTTCTTGTGCCTGGGCTTAGGCTGGTCCTATGGGATATGTCAAAATTCACAATTCTTCCACATACCGGCCCATAATCAATAAGTTACATAACAATATATGCACACATCTGTTCTAGGCTAAGCAGATTGCTTTTCTTGGTCCCTTCTTTAATGTAACATTCCTTCTTTAATGTAACACCAGCAACCTTCCAAATGGCCATGTCCTCTGTGTCATTTGCTCTCTACCATGCATTCTTGGTGTCTATGTTCACAAGGCACACATTGGCTTCTATGCAGGTGTGCTGTCAAATGGGGGTGCTCATGTAATTTTTATTAATATGAATTATAGGAGTTGTGTGTGAGAGGGAGGGAGGAGGGAGGGAGAGAGAACGAGAACTGTGGATGGAGATTGAAAGGAAGAATGAATCGTGTGCGCACCTTAGTATGTGACCAAACACTGATCAGCATATTATTTCTCTCTTTTTCTAGCTGAAGGTTACAACCAATTGCGGCACATAGTTGACTGGATTTGACATTCCACTTGCAAAAATAAAACTGGTCAATTGGCAACCCTGTCAGAGAATGCACAAAGGTGGTGGGAGCAGCACAACTCTCTTCCTTCTCCTGGGAAATGAGGAGAGACAGCTTCAGCAGCTCAGCAAGTGTGATCAGCATAACAGCGCTTTCTAGGCAGGCACATCTCATCTACCTGCCAAGGCAGTCAAGGGGATGTGGAGCAACAGTAGCTGCTCCAAACAACACAGCCAGTGCTATCTACCTACACTTTTTGTGCATCTCCTCTGTTTATAGCATCTGTGTCACAGGCAAAGGGAACACATTCTTTGCAGTATTCAGGTAAGTCTTATCAAAATAAATAAGTCAAATCGCTGTGAGTTGTCAGTAGGTCCAGAAAACATTTACGGAGTAGAAATATTCACAGCCAAACAAAACAAACCTGAAACTGTTCTTTGGAAATGAATATATTCAGCATTTCATACTCATGTTTAAAAGACTTAAATTGGACAATATTGAGAAATTTTTCTTTATAAAGTAAGGAAGGGCTTGTACACACTGGAAAACAATGTGAATCCCACCTCAGTGTTCTTCCAGACAACACTGGACATCCCTCCATTCATGTGGAGCCAGGCTAGTTTGCTCCAGTTTGGACAAGCCCTTGGGTCTCAACAACAGATTTATGCTGGGGAAATACTGAATAATAGTTCTTATCAAAGTAAGTTTGAGGCTGGATTGGATGGCACATGCTGTGTCAGAGTTGTATATGCAATATTTTGAATATTTACTATGTACTTTGCTATGACAGCAATCCCTCTCTCTTTCACTCGCTTTCTGTTATTTAAATTGCTCCAATATTTTTCTCAAGAAAGAAGTTCTAGACTGTGTTATGCTGAAGAACACACAGATGCCTAGTTTGTCCATTGGTTAAAAGACCCCCAAATTTGTCCCCTGCCCTCTCAAATATTATAACATTTGATTACATTGCAAGGGTGGGGCTAGACTATCAGTCGTATCCAACGCCTATCCTAACCCCGAAAGGGATGGCAGAAAATCTTCCTTTCACTAGATTCTCTTTAAAGTTGTTTTATGCCTTGCTTTTCCTTAAATGATTTCTGAAATGTAATTTCTCTAGAGCTTCTACACAAAGCTAACAGCAGCCTGGCTCTTATGCCATAGAAATAAGTGTCATAAATAAAGTGGTAAAGCATTTGTCACTTTGGAGCAGAATTTATAGTCTCCTCCTAATTTATAAAAACAGCCAGAAGCTATTGTTAGGGAACAGGAAATAATAGAACGTTCAGAATTGACATGTAATAGGAGAATACCAGTTATCAAATATCGCCATTGTGTCCAAAGAAGACACTCTCCTAATTTCAATTTGGCGCCACGTCAGACTATGCTTGAGAAAATACACATTCTGGGAGGTTTTTGCTCAGTAATTTCTCACAACATTGGTGTGTGAGAGAGAGAAACTTGGGAACCATTATTTTTTTTTTAGACAGATAGCCCACTCAGTTGTTTAGAATGAGAAACAATATGTTGATTATTGTACTCTGTACCTCCTTGTCCCTGGACATAAGATAAGCTTGGACAAGCCTCCGATAGAAGAAAATTCAAAAGCTGAGAGACAATTATTGGAATGTTTCACTGCATGCCTTTGTGGTTCAGACTTCCAAAATGTTATCCCTGTCACATGTTAAGTGCAATCTAGATATCTTCAACTAATGATAATTCATGTGTTTTATACCTTTTTGCAACTACAGCATTTATGCCGAACTTTACACCCTACCCTTCAACTTTGATTCCAAAATCAATGGCTTTAGAGCTCTATTCTAAGAATCTGAAAAATATCACAATTGTCCTTCTCTAGTGGAATCAAGTATCTTATAATAAACCTAGCACAGCTATGATTTGTACTCTACAATGTTCTTCAACACATCTTTAAAAAGAAACACTTTCATCACAACTGTGAACTCTATAGTGACCTCAAATAATACACTGTTCAAGGTGTTGAAAGTAGAAAAACCACAGTTTTATTTTAAGAAGGTCTACCCTGTTCAAGAAGTGAAAGGAGAATTTAAAGTCAAAAGATATGGATTGACCAACACCGACACTTGAATATGAATTTATGAAAGAACTCTATTGGTACTTTTGTTACCATTTAAATACTATTGTTGGTTGGTCTTAATACCAGTAAGGATCCCTAATGTTTGCCATGTCAAGAGCTGATCTGTTTCAGAGTGCTTGTTTTCGAAGAGTTTAGATCTCTTCCTGACAATCATTACAGAATGAGATAGAGCGTTGACAGACTGTTCAGCAGTCATTGTCACTTGACAACTCAAACTGCAGAAAATAAGAAAGCGCTGAAGTCCCGATTTTTCCACATTCCTTAAAAATTACATTTAAAAAATCCTCCCTGGAGTCTTTTATGGCTGGATGTTTGAGAAGTCCACCGAATAGCCTTTTAAACAGCACTTTACTGAAGTAATCACATAGAAGGATAAATACACGTGTCACATCCTATAACAACTCCATTTATTTAAGGCCAACTCAAAAGCACAGTTATGAAATCTCTTGGAGAGCCTTGAATAGAATGAGCCTTGACTAAAAATACAGAAGCTGAGCTCAGAGACATGGAAGGTATCTCCTTTTCTCAATGCTCTATTCCAGTGAATGGAGAAGAAGCTCACTGTTCCAATCAGGTGCAATCACATCTATTCTTGGGCAGATGTAATGCTGCCAATCATATTCATGGGTAAGAGTACGGATGAGCCAAAACACAGGGCACATTAAAAAAAAAAAGTATATTCAGCATAGAAAAAAGTATCTCTTTTAATGATTTGAAGAGCTCTCCCAAAGGGAGAAAGGCAAATGGCTGCATTTGATCTCAGTGACACTGGCCTGGTTCAAACATCCCATTAAACCATACATGAGACTGTAATAGCTCTATTTTCCTGGTCTGCCACTGGGCATTCTACACTGTAGACTTGCAATGTTTTTAACAACCAATCTATCCCACAGTGTTAAGGCTGTCAAATGGACTGGAAGCTTACTCTGAAAACAAGAGTAGCTGGAAGCCGAATTGAAATTATGATTAAATATAGAAAACCAATGGATCATTAGTAAAAGTACATTCAGGTGTGAAAGCTAGCACATGCATTAACCACGATGACTGAAAAGCTGCAGAAGTGATTGGATGAAGCGACTATAATGGTAAGTATGAAATGTATGTAACTACTATACACCATGAGCAATATTCAAATAAGCTAAACATCTGAATTGCCCTGCATTCCTGCTCATTTATTACTGCTGCCCTTTTAAACAAAGCAAAATTCATGTCCCTGTTGAAGGGCATATTGTGAAAGACTAAGATTAAGACTACTTAATCTTTCACTTGAGTTATTTAAATGGGGCAAAAAGAATCCAGAAGTAGTATTTATTATCAACCATGATTTATTTATTTTTTTAAAAAAGGTTTCCTTGCCTAAACACGAATAGTGAAAACATGGTTGTACATTCCTGCATTCACCTCGACAGCTGCTTTAAAACTGATGACAATGTATGGAATTTCATTACAGACATGGTTAGCTAGCGAGTGCAGACAAAACTTACATCTTGAGACAAGTTCTTTTCAGTACATGTCTAAATTAATAGTGTACCTAACATTCTTGATGAATTCCATCTTAATTTGTACATAATTACACTTAAAAGGCAAAGTAATTTAATTTTTAAAAAACCAGTGAGGACTTAGTTAAATAAACATGATTGTTAACATTTGTCTTAATTTCATTTGCTGTATTTTATTTATCTTCGATTAAACAAAGCTATCAAGTATAACAGATTAAGTAATATTTACCGGTTTTATAAAAAGCACCCCTATATAAATTTAACATGTTGGGGGGGGGAGGAAGGGCTTTATGAAAGGCTTGAGATATGAACCTGGGCTTGGGATAATAATGAAAGGCTAATTAACCGAGAGCTAATCATGCACATCTTGATCCTGACCTACCCAACATTTTAGTTAAAATATGTTCAAGCACACAGATAGACTTGAAAGATGGCAAACAGAAAAAGAACAACATACCTCCTCATACAGTCAAGGGCTCGGATAAAAAAGTCTTTGTGCAGCTGATGCTCGTCTCTTAAAATTGAACATTGTTCCAGTGTCACTGACATTGATGTCCTATCTTTGGCACTTTTACAACAGGTGAACCGGATTCCATTTAGCTTGCGGCAAATCTATAATGTACACAGAAATCAAGTGACTTGCTTCTCTCTTTACTCCAGGTGTATTGCAGTCTAGCATACTGGGGAATGCCAACATGTTAAACAAATGGTTGGGGAACATTTAAACTACTTGGATAACATTGTCAAACAGAAAAGAGTTTGCTATCTTTGTATCTTGTTGTGGAGCAACAAGCTTGGTTTTGATTTATTACTTGTATGCCGCTTTTCCAGCAGCAACATTGAGTTCAAAGTGGCTCATAATCACAACAAAGCGTTACAAATTAGCAAACAACATTTCCACCAAAATACTCATGCCAAAAACCACCACAACATATAAATACAGCAAAAAAACAAAAACAAAAAAACACCCCTCAATTAAACAATGCAGTTCAATACAACTTCATATTAATGCAAAACTAAGCTATCAGAAATGGCTGATAAATTCTAATCTAGTAATTTAGATCAGGAAGACCACTTTTGCAGATTTTATCACAGTGATTCATTTGTCACAACTTTCATAATCTTTTGACATTCCCAGCCCAATGCATGAAGCTATGTGGAAAATAAAAAAAATTAAAATGCTTTAATGAGTTGATGATGGGCTTCTGTGTGTCTCTGTTCTTATTTGATAATAAAACCAGCATGGGGAAGCTGTGAAAAGTGCATATTCTGTGCTAGGAGCTATTGGGAAAGGAATTGAAAATAAAACTGCCAATATCATAATGCCTTTATACATAGAATTCTGGGTACAGTTTTGGTCATGACATCTCAAAAAGGGTACTGAATTGCTGGAAGGGCAGCCAAAATGATTAAGGTTCTGGATTACCGTATTTTTCGCTCTATAGGACGCACCCAACCATAGGATGCACCTTGTTTTAGAGGGGGAGAACAAGAAAAAAATAATTCTCCCCCTCTCTGCTCAGCGCTCCTTCAGCGAAGCGGCAGGAGAAATGGAGCCCCTTCCATTTCTCCTCCCGCTTCGCTGAAGGGGCGCTGCGCAGCTCTCCCTCTCTGCTGAAGCCAGGAGAGTCTTGCTCTCCCGGCTTCAGCAAAAGGAACCCCAAAACCTCTGGAGCGCAGTGCGAGGTCCCGCTGCGCTCCAAAGGCTTCAGGCAGCTATCCCTGAAGCCTGGAGAGTGAGAGGGGTGGGTGCGCACCGACATCTCTCACTCTCCAGTGAAAGCAATGCGAAGCCTCCGGAGTGCGGAGGGAGCGCTCCCTCTGCGCTTTGGAGGCTTCGCATTGCTATTGCTGAAGCCAAGGAGCCTGCATTCGCTCCATAGGATGCACACACATTTTCCCTTCATTTTTGGAGGGGAAAAAGTATGTCCTATAGAGCGAAAAATATGGTAATTCCATTATGAGGGAAGGTTAAAATTCTGGCACTTTTAAGTTAGCAGGTAAAATAATCAAGATTTATAAAATTATGCATGGTGTAGAGAAAGTTGGCAGAGAATTCTGTTCCCGCTCTCTCATAACAGAAGAACCAAAAGGAGCTGCTTAGTGGGAGTTTCAGGGTAGACAAAAGCAAGTATATCTTTAACACAGCAGTCTTCTAGAATTTGCTTCTGTAAGATGGCTTTAAAGGTAATTGCACAAAGTACAGTAATGGAGGATAAACCTTTCTATAGCTACTAGCCATGTTGGCTATACGTTACCTCCGAGCTCAGAGGCTGCAAGCCTCTGTGTAGCAGTTGCTGAGGAATAATACGGATAGAGATACAAGTCTGTCTTGCTTATAAAATCTCTTTCCAAAGGCAACTGTTTAACCACTGCAGGAAAAAGATGCTGGACTAGAATGGCCTTTGGTCTAATTTGACAGGATTCTACTATTCTATAATATTCTTATACAGTGCTTTTTTCTTTAAAAATGTTTAGGGGTACTCTCATTTTCCTACTCATATTGAAATACTGCCCCTCAATGAGACCAAACTTAGATTCACAAAATGTTTAGGAGTATGTGTACCCCTGCGTCCCCCCCAGAAAAAAAGCACTGTTCTTATATATTAGAATGATTTTGTGTCTTCCAAGTAAGTAAGGTAAAAAGGTAAAGGTAAAGGACCCCTGGATGGGGTTGCGGTGCTCATCTCGCTTTCAGGCAGAGGGAGCCGGTGTTTGTCCACAGACAGTTTACTGGGCCAAGTGGCCAGCATGACTAAACTGCTACTGGTGCACGGAGGACAATGACGAGTGCCAGAGTGCACGGAAACGCCATTTACCTTCCCACCACAGTGGTACCTATTTATCTGCTTGCACTGGCGTGCTTTCGAACTGCTAGGTTGGCAGGAGCTGGGACAGAGCAACAGGAGCTCACCCCGTTGCGGGGATTCGAACCACCGACCTTCCGAACAGCAAGCCCAAGAGGCTCAGTGGTTTAGACCACAGCGCCAGTATCAGAATTGCTCTTCTGAGAATGGAATGTATAAGAGAAAGAGGATTATATAATCAGAATTCAAGCACATCCAGAGAACAGCAGCTGTGCCAAAGACATTTCGGCAGTGTGCTCTACCAACTCTCTTAATTTTTATATCCTAGTTAGCTCCATATGAGATGTCACTACAGTAAGCGGTGGTGAATCTGCTATGCTTTTGACTGGCATATATTAAATGCATGTGCATTAACAATCACTTATATTTTATACCCTTTGAAGTTTGTGCTTCTATTTTAAAATGAGGTCCAAATCAGCACCACTAAAGGCTTCCTGATTAAGCTTTCTAAATTAAAACATGAAACTTCAAAGGGATGAGAATCGGACAGAACAGATGTCGAAGAATAAAGGTTTTGGCAACAGAACAAAAAAAAGGAGGACAGGGAAGCTGAGACACTCAGGGGAAAAGCAATATAAAATGTACTTTGGGTTTTACTCTTTTAAAGGGATAAAAAGGCATGGGAAAACATGTCACTACCTAAGCAATAGTCACCTAGTTGGTGGACAACCATTCCCCAATGAGCAATGATGTTTGCAGTTTCCGAGTTGTAGAAAGCCAGTTGAAATGCATTTCTTGAAAACATCAAACATGAAATAGTCTTTGGTGCCACCACTAGTTTTAGTAAGCTAGATTTTTGCAACTTCTCCAAATTCAGCAGCAATGGAATGCAATGAAGTTCCGTCTATGAATAAACAGTGTCATGCCAAACGATTCCTGCTATTTGGTGGTTGCAGAAGTCAGCAGGAGTTGGAAAAGAAACTGGCTGTTGGAATGAACAGTGGTGCCTCGGGTTACATACGCTTCAGGTTACAGACTCTCTTAACCTCGGGTTAAGAACTTTGCTTCAGGATGAGAACAGAAATTGTGCAGTGGCAGCGGGAGGCCCCATTAGCTAAAGTGGTCTTCAGGTTAAGAACAGTTTCAGGTTAAGAACGGGCCTCCGGAAGGAATTAAGTACTTAACCCGAGGTACGCTGTACACGGAGATGCGCTTGTTTCATAATCCTTCCGTATAACTTGCTTACTTAGCAAGGAAAATGAGTAAATGGGAAATTGCTAGTTCTGGGCCAGGCAACCCTTTCGGTTTTGAGATTGCCGCTACCACCCAAAACGCCTAAATTTCTAGAACATTATACAAGTCTGCTGGATCAGGCCCATCTAGTTCAGCATTGGCCAGCCGGATGCCTGTGGGAAATTCGCAAGCTGGACATGAGCGTAACAGCACTTTGCCCACCTGTAATTCCCAGCAACCAGCATTGGGAGGCATACGTGGAGTGTAGGGAGAACCTGTCATTCAAAGCTTTCTCCCAAACAAAACACTGGAATTTTCCCCATCTAAAATTTTGAGTCCATTTTACCACCTTTTCATTAACTAACCTGTTCTTGCTCTATGTCGTAGGTCCACAATAACTGATGTACTTTCACTAACATGAAAGTATATTAGCGAGGGGTGAGAAGTCCTGCAAAGTGAGTGCAGAGAGGAAGAGAGGAAATGGGCTGGGGGGTTGGTCTGGATGGGGCAGGGTGTGTCTGTGTGTGGAGAGACACACGAATCTGCCCCTTCAAGGGGAAAATTTGATAGAGAGGGAGGAGCGCGGGGGGGGGGGGAGGTTGGACTTGCATGAGAGCGTGGGAGCCAAAAATGTAGGATCTTGGAGGGTATGCACCTGTCAGATTTTCAGAGGTCCGTTCAAGATATTGCAATTGTTTTGTTTTCATATCTGCTATTGCAACCAGCAGTTAATCCAGTGAAAATCACTGAGAAAAGAAACGCAATTAACTTATACACAGGAGATTTGTGGGGCCTCTGTCAGGAAAATATCTACATCCTTAATTACCCAGTTAGAGAATGTTAACTGCCTAAATGTATGTGTTAGTGGTGTCAAGTTCATGAAAACAAATAACCAAGCAGTGTTATGTTTTGCATTGTGCCCAGGGCCAGTCAGCTTCTACAAAAGTAAAAGCTGGATCATTATTAATAATTAACATTTTGCTTTCCATAAATATGAATTTATATGATAGGATGAATATACTGCTATTCATTCATATGGAGTAATATACAATGATTGCAAGCCTGCAAGCCAGGGCCTCAAAGATCTAGTCCAAGGGGGTCCTCCATCATCATCATCATCATCATCATCATCATCATTATTATTATTATCTCTAGCCATTTTTGTTTACCTAGCTTCTTTAAATACTATTCCTGAGTTGGAACCTTCCTGAGCCCCGAAATCCAAATTTTTCAACAAAGAAATTGCAATGATATGCAAAGACTAACATGTGAATGTCTACATAAACATATCTTCGGGAATTTGCAATGTTTATCATGGACTGAAGATGTATGGTGCCAGGGACCTGGAAAATGAGATTCATAAGTTTGCAGGGTATAGACCAAGGATGGGAACATGTGGCTTTCCAGCTGCTATTCAGTATCAGCTCCAGTTGGCATGGGGAATAGTCTGGAATGATGGGAAGTGTAGTCCAACAACATTTGGAGAGCCACAGATTCCCCATCCTTGCTCTAGGCTAAGAAATGAGGAGCTGTTCAATGTACAGGAAGCCTGACCTCACTCCCCCTCAAGAGACACTGGACACGCATTTTCAAATGTGAAGAGTCCTATTGATACAAGGAATACTCCCCCTCCTCCAAATGTAGTCGTGGATATTTTTCAGTGTCACATTTCTATACAGTACAGTAAGCATACAAGTTACATACTGCTCTGAGTCAGAGCTGTTGTAAGGTTGGGGCTACAATATGTTCCTGGTTATAGGAACTGCATCCATGATTATGCCTACTGTCCTCTGAGAAAATGATTCTTATGGACGTCATCAAAAGGAACTCTTGCTTCATCTCTTCCTCTCTGCCAATGCCACCCATTACAATCATCCATGCATTGCATTCCTCTAATAATAGGTTAACTTATATATCCTTCACAAAATGGCAAGAGGGGAAAAAAAAACCCATTATATGCACCTAACTATGCCAAAGAATTCCTAATATTGAATCCACCCTGTGTTCAGGGCCAGCATCAGGAGTACAACTAGGAAGCTGAAAATACCAGTTTGAAGAGAACAAGCAAGTGCAATAGTTTTATAAAGGTAAAGGGACCCCTGACCATTAGGTCCAGTAGTGACCGACTTTGGGGTTGCGGTGCTCATCTCGCTTTATTGGCTGAGGGAGCCAGCGTACAGCTTCTGGGTCATGTGGCCAGCATGACCAAGCCGCTTCTGGCAAACCAGAGCAGCACACGGAAACGCCGTTTACCTTCCTGCCAGAGCGGTACCTATTTATCTACTTGCACTTTGACGTGCTTTCAAACTACTAGGTTAGCAGGAGCAGGGATTCGAACCACTGACCTTCTGATCGGCAAGTCCTAGGCTCTGTAGTTTAACCCACAGCGCCACCCGCGTCCCAGTAGTTTTATGGAAAGATGCAAATTTAATAAAGTACTTTGGGCATTAAAAGGCTTCATGAGTCACTTGCAGATGTCATCCGAGTCCCCACCACCACCACCAGCAAGCTGCTAAGCTTCCCTTATTTGCATTTCCTTGCCAAAGTTCATTTTAACAAGTCAGAACAAAATTAAACGAATTGCTTTAAAATGAGGTTTCTTACCGTTGCAGCCAGCCACATGATTTCTACATTCTTTCTTTTTTTAGCCTGAATATTTTGATGGAGATTTTCTAGTAATCCTTTTAAGTCATTCTGTTCTTGAAAATGTGGTAGGCCTGGGAAGAAGAAGAAGAAGAAATACAGCGTGTGATAACGGCTATGCTGAGTCAAGGATTTCCTCAGGAAAGTAAAGCTGCTATATTGAAAGTCTCATTTCGAATGCATGAGGATTTTCCTCAAACACAGCAATGCCCGTCTTTTAATGACTGACCAAACAGGTTTCTGCTTGTTCACACAGCCCCTGCTATCTAAGAGCTTTTTTCTGAAGTTCCATGCATCTTCAGTACCTCTATATTAAATGGTAAGAGGACCGATTCCATAACCTGTTGCACTTCTGCCTCTCGTCTGTTATCTGCTCCTTGTGCTGCACTTTGCATAATTGCAGGATGTGCAGAGAGCAAAGCAGCAATAAGGAAAAAGAGAGAGAAGAGGGGCTAATGGAAAGTACAGCACCACCATAAATGTATGCACAAGTTTATTTCAAGTAAATAATAAATGCAGGCTAGCTAGCCTGCTAGTAATTTCCCTTTAAATATGTGGCAAGCTGGGGCAAATCTCAGGCTTGTGGAATCTGCTTTGTCTTCTTCTAGGACCAGGGATGTCTTTACCATTGAGGGTAGTAGCGCAGGGAACCAGGGCGCCAAGGTCTGGAGGGTGCCAGAGAGTCCGGGGAGAGTGTGGGGAGGTAAGCGAGGCGGAGTGGGGGCTTGATGCCTGTGCGCCTCCAGCACCAGGGTCATCCCTGACAGCGGGAAGGCTCCAGATGCTTTTCTGCAGTCCAGAGCTCTCTCTGCTGGCTCCACGGTGGCGACCTGGCCACAAGGTTGGGGCCGCTCTTTCCTTCCCCTCCCTCCACCCCTGTGAGCTCTTTTCACAAGAAAGGAAGAGACAGAGCTTTGTTGTGCGCATCCATCAGAAATTGGTGGGAGGTGGAGAAGGTGAGCGGAAGGGGGAGCCAAGGTTAAGAGGGAGGATGTAAAGGAAGAGGCGTTCGCAGGCTGCTTGCGTGCGGCTGCCGGCCACGACGGGGTGAGCTCCCGTTGCTCGGTCCCTGCTCCTGCCAACCTAGCAGTTCGAAAGCATGAAGTGCAAGTAGATAAATAGGAACTGCTCCGGGGGGAAGGTAAATGGTGTTTCCATGCGCTGCTCTGGTTCACCAGAAGCGGCTTAGTCATGCTGGCCACATGACCCAGAAGCTGTACGCTGGCTCCCTCGGCCAGTAAAGTGAGATGAGCGCCACAACCCCAGAGTCGTCTGCCACTGGACTTAATTGTCAGGGGTCCTTTACCTTTACCTTTTTACTTAGGCTTTCAAAAAGTTTTAAACAAACCCCCTCACCAAATATCCTAGGTAAGCTTAGCAGTCATGGCATAAGAGAGGTCCTCTAATGGATCAGTATTTTGTTAAGGAACAGGATGCAGGGAGTAGGAATAAATGGACAGTTCCTACAATGGAGGGATATAGAAAATGCAATCCCTCGTGGACTGGTATTGGGACCTGTGATATTTAATTTGTTTGTAAGTAATTTAGAGTTAAGGGCAAGCAGTGAGGTGCCCAAGTTTGCTGATGATGTCAAATTGTTCAGGGAGGTTAAAACAAAAAGGGATTGTACGGAACTCCAAAAGGATCTCACCAAAGTGGGTGAATGGGCAGTAACAAGGCAAATGCAATTCAATGAAAGCAAATATGAAGTGATGCACACTGTAAAGCAGAGTCCCGTGCCCAGCGGAAGGATGAGGAGTACGTACTACATACTCTATATTGCTTTATTTACAGTTCAAAGCTGGTATATTACAGAAAGACATCTTGCCTCTGCCGGAGCAGGAAAAGCATCCTCTCTCCTCGACAGCTTGGAGAGAATCACACAGTGAAAAACAGGAAACCAGTGTACGTCACATCCAGTCTCCCTTTCCCGTGAGAAACTCCAACAGTACAGACTGTGGAATGTAAACACCTGTCTCGTGACAAGCCCTTTCGCTGCACAGTGAAGGAAAGCAGAAACCAACATCCTCCCCCTTTCTGTGAACATCACTGGGCAGCGTGTTCGTACAGTATCAGTACAAACCCAACTTCTGCACATAGGTACAGTGTTGATCCCTTGATACAATCTTGGACAAAACATCAGCAGGAATTTCATTACCTGGCATATAGGACACCGTTACGAGTCCCTTCTGAATACATTCCTTAGCATGCTGCAACTTTAATTGCAAGTGCTTTGTGCTTTGCTTACAACCTTCAGACTTCAGCAAAGCCAAACATGCTTTGTTGTCCTGGTAAACCTGGATTGGACATTTGACAGGAATTTTCATATCTTTGCACAATTGTATCAACCATTCACAATCCTTAAGTGAATAAGACAGTGCATTCAGTTCAGCTTCACAAGTACTTAAGCTAACTGTTGTTTGCTTCTTGCATGACCAATCAAACAGACCCTGATTGTACATGTAGCAAACTCCAGACGTACTTTTCCTGTCTGCAGTGTCACTTCCAAAACTTGCATCTGCAAATATCTCAAGACCACCAGACTTCTGATTGTTAAATCTCAGTCTGTAATGCATAGTGCCTTTCAAATACCGCGCTATGCGTTTCAGAGCTTTCCAATCCTTGACACTAGGATTGTTGACTTGTCTGCTTAGCAAATTACAGCTAACAGCAATGTCAGGTCTTGAACATCTGGCAATGAAGTTTAGCTTGCCTAGCACACTTCTGTACAGTGTAGTGTCAGAAAATGCTTCTTCAGTGTCATCTACCTGATAACCTGTTGTCATCGGTGTGTCTACAGGGTTAGCATCCATCAGGTTTAGTTTGCTTAACACATCAGCAATTTTCCGTGACTGGTGTACTAGAATGTTACCATCTTGATCTCTCTCTATTTCCAGAGATAGGTAGTTGTTTACCTCACCAAGATCTTTCAAAGGAAGCTGAGCCATGGTTAAATGCCATGAAGGCTGAGCTTGATTCCTTGGAAAGGAACAAAACATGGGAGCTAGTTCCGGTAGTTCCAGGAATGAAACTGCTTTGAAGACCCATTTGCTTCCAAGCAGTTTCATTCCTGGAACTACCGGAACTAGCTCCCATGTTTTGTTCCTTTCCAAGGAATCAAGCTCAGCCTTCATGGCATTTAACCATGGCTCAGCTTCCTTTGAATCCAAACCCTGGATTTCTTGGAAACTTGAAGGTTCAAATACCTTCTTGGAGCTTTTAACAGCTTTTACTACTATCGTAGCAAACTCATCAGCAAATCTCTTTGGAGGTTTGCCTTTGTGGCTCTCTGTGACCTACGAATTAGCCTTAAGTCTTCAACACTCTCCTCTTCCTTCTTAGGAGAAAAACGACCTATTGTGAACAATGGTTCCTCCAATTCTTCTCGATCAGAGCTTTCAGAGGGTCGCATAGAGGCTTTCGCACTCTTGAAATCCTCTGAATCACCCGATTCAGTTTCAGATTCAGACTCAGAACCTTCATCAGTGGGTGTGGGTTGTTGTGGTTGCTTTTGACTATCCTCATTCTCATCACCATCATCAGGATAACATTGGAAAATTCCCACATTCTCCCCCCACTTGGCATTGTACTCAACACTTCTCGTGAGCTTAATTGTCTTAGAGTCAGTCATCATTATTCTGTAAGAACCTTTCTGATAACCTAGAAAGATACCATGCAAACCACGCTTGTCTAACTTGGAGTTTTGTGGTGTGTGAATCCACATATCAGAACCAAAAATTCTCATGTGTTTGATGTAAGGCTTCTTGCCAAACATCTTCTCATAGGGGGTACAACCAATCGCTGAAGATAATCTGCGATTGTAACTGTAAACAAAACATGAGAGAGCTTCGGCCCAATAACTTTCTGGAAGATTGGCATCATGCAGCAAGGTTTTTAACCCTTGAAGCAATGTCTGATTTGCCCGTTCCGCAAGTCCATTCTGCCATGGCGAGCGAGGACTAGACAAATCGTGTTGAATTCCTTTCTCAGTCAGAAAAGCTTCAAACTGCTGAGAAGTGAATTCTCCCCCGCGATCAGTGAAAAGAGTCTTTATCTTCTTACCATGCACATTTTCCAACCAAGCACAGAATTCCTTGAACCTAGGAAAAGCCTCTGATTTCTGCTTGAGATTGTACACAAAAATATATCTAGAAAATGCGTCAATGAGAACCATGAAGTACCTATTTCCACCCAAAGAGGGCGATAGTGGTCCAACCAAATCAGCATGAACAACCTGGTATGGTTCCGTAGCTTGCCTACTAGACACCTTACCTTTCGCAGCCATTTTCACCTTGTTTGCTGCGCATGCTTTGCACTTCATGTGGTACCTGCAGGGTTTAATAGTCATACCTTCAACCAAGGCAGGCATTTTAGATACTGCCTCAAAATGCAAATGACCAAATTTTCGATGAAAATCATGAATACATCCTGCATGCAAACTTTTGTTAGAACCTGCAATGCAACAAGTGTCATCCTGCACAACATCATCATAATACAAAACAAACAAGCGATCAACATATTCAGCATGCAATACATAATCATTTTTCTTTGTGATGATGCACTTCCTGTTCTTGAAGGAAACGTCAATGTTCCGCTCATTCAGCTGTCCAACGCTGAGCAGATTATGTTTGGCGTCTGGTACATAAAGCACATTCTGTATCGATAAGTCCAAACTGTGAAGAACAACAGTTCCGTAGCCTTTACTTGGAATAGTGTGGTCATCCGCCTGGTGAATCGCTCCTTCCTGCGGTGTAAAAGACACAAACAGTCTCTTATCGTTGCACATGTGGTGGGTCGCCGCTGAATCAACAACGAAGAAAGATCTAGACGCCTTCTGGACCTCTGCAACCTTTGGAGTGAAGCGTGAAACCATAGCCTTGTGCTGCGTTGTCCTAGACACCGGACCTTTGCCTTTGCCTCGGCCTTTTCCACGCGATGAGCTTTCGCTGCGCTGCTCTGTCTTGGCCTTGGGATATCTGCATTCCCTCTTCATATGGCCTAGACGTCCACATGAGTAGCATTTCACTGCCTTCAAAGCTTTGGCGCCATCTGGTGGTTCCACTGCACTATGGGA